GCCAAGTGTGCAAATGAACTTCCTGGGGAAGTGTCCAAGTCCTGTGCCCTCCTTCCAAGCATAAAGATATGGAATATAAAAGGTTTATTATTTCAAGGGGACCCAGGGGTCTAAAGCAAAGCCTCCCAGGAGCAAATGTTGAGCAGCAGCGGACCTTCTTGATGAGAAGTGTCCTTCTGACTGTCCCTGATGGCTTTCCAGGTGGATGCCAGCACTCCCATAGTGCTTTTTGCTAATGGAGAAAGATAATCCTGATGTCCTAGCCATCACTGTGTGTGTGCAGTGCCCAGGGCTGTCCAAGCTGCTGATGACTGCTCTGTTCCCTTGACTGCTGTGTCCTGCCAGGATCTGCTCTCTGGCTGCAGCCCCTGGTGCCCAGGAGAGGACAGACTGCCACCCTGGGGACCATCCTGTTCTCAGGAGTGCCCCAGTGAGCAGGGGGGGCTGAGCCAGAGGTGAGGGGGCAGGAGGCCAAGGGCAGCCCTTGCCGAGGGGCTGGCATGGAGCCTCCTACCTGCAGCCCTTCCATGCCAACCTCCTGGCAGAGCACTGCTGTCGCTGGAGAGAGGAGGCAGGTGCTCAGCCCAAAATAACCAGATGGTGCTGGGCCTCTGAATGTAGGACAGGGGCACCTGTGGCTCCCACTGCTCTTGGGCAGTGTCTGAAGGGCTCAGAGATCTGAACAGAAGTGCAGGAGCTGGCCTGGTGCTCCGGCCCCTGCTCCAGAGAGGACCCAGGGGAGCACAGGGACCCACAGCCATGCTGGGGACACTGGTGCTACCCCAGGGCTGAGCTCGGCAGTCCCCAAGGGCTGTTCCGGCACAGAACACAGCAGGGGTGGGGTGATTTCTGCTCTGATTTCCAAGGGATGCATCTGCCCTCACATCCCAGAGCCCGAGGAGCAAGCAGAGGTGGGCAGCACAGGTTGTGAGTGCTGGTGGCACTGCAGAGCTGTGGGCAGATCCCTCCTGCACCTGCCAGGTGTGCTCTGACACCGCGTGGGTGTCCCTGTCCCCCACCTGCGCCGTCAAGGGGAGCCAGGGGAGCCCTGCTTGATCATTCCTCAGCAAGGAGCCCCTGCCTCTGCCTCTGGCTGGCACTGGGAGAGGGTGGCACAGTCCTGGGTGACTGCCCATGTCTAAGAGGTGCCTACGTGCCATTCTCAGGATGGCTTTGGTCCTGCAGCCCAGAGGCATTTGCTGTGGACACCTTTCAAAGCTCTGAATTCCAGACCGGTAACTCCAGCAGGGCATTCTGTTTGTAGCCTTCTTCCTTTCCTCTTAGGAGACAAACCCGTGGGAAAATGTGTCCCTAAATAACTGTGGGTCTGTTCTGTCCCCTGGCAGTGCACAAAGCAGTAAAGAAGTGCTCCTGGTTTGTCCCCCAGCTCGGCTGGGATTTCAGCTGGGGAAGGGAAATGATTGCCTTGCCCCTTCCCCACCCTCCTGCCATCTGGCTTGATCCATCTCAACTTGGAAATAAGAAGGTTGGTGCTGTGTCTGAGCCCTGGCTGGGCTTTGTTATCCAGGAGCTTCCAGTCTCCTGCACAGACGAGCTCCGAGACCCCTTTGGCGCCCAGACCTTACTGGTGGCTCTCAGATCCTGACCATGAGGTGTCCAGGGAGGTTCTTCCCCTTGGATCCCATCAGAGGGGGAGTCTGCCATGCCTCAGTGAAAGCCCAGCCCAGCCTGTCTGATGTGGTGGGACAGGCTCCAGAGCCACCCTGGGTGTGCTGGGAGCAGCCCTGCGGTGCCCATGGATGTGTACCCATGGGATGTGTGCCCACGGATGTGTGCCCACGGATGTGTACCCACGGATGTGTGCCCACGGATGTGTGCCCACAGATGTGTGCCCATGGATGTGTGCCCACGGATGTGTGCCCATGGGATGTGTACCCACAGATGTGTGCCCACAGATGTGTGCCCACGGATGTGTGCCCATGGATGTGTGCCCACGGATGGGCTGGAGCCTGACCCGGGGCTGGTGTCAGGAGGCTCCTGAGGCCCCGAGTGGCTCCAGGCTGGCCTGGGGAGGTTTGCAGCCTGGAGGCAGCTCAGGGCAGGCTCCCTGTGCTGGGGCTCTGCTCGGGCAGTGCCAGGAGCTCACACACTTGCACTGGTGCAGCAGGTTGGGCTCCCACTGGCACACCTGGGCAGGACCACACTGGGCTGTGTCCTGTCCAGTTCTGTTGGCTCTCCCCACCAGACTCCTTCTGAGATGTAGGGACAGAATTTGCCTGGCTCCCTAACCCAGAGCAGCTTGGCTCAGAGCAAACCCCAACTGTGTAAAACCCAGAGCGCAGCTTTTCGCCATGCTGACTCCTTTGCACAAAATACCCACGACTGCCCAGGGCTTTCTCTGCTGTCTCAGGAGCACAGCTGCCACGTGGCTCACCAGGTCTTGTTCCTCATGCTGACAGATCAAGTGAAAGAGGCAGTGGGGACAAGAGCTGCCTCCACCAGGGAGTCTGCCAAGGAACTCTGCTGTGAAGTTCAGGCACCATCAGCCTTTATTAAACAGCATTAAACTCATCCCCGCAGACTGACAACATGAAAATTTCATGTGGCTTTTAAGTAAGGCTGGGTGGAGCTCTTTAAACATCTATATCTTGGGAACAACAAAGAGAAATCTGTGCCAGACTGGGATCTGGGGAAGGAGCACACTGGAATCCAGCAGGAGGAGTTCAGGGCAGGAGGTAACCTGCAGTGCACTGCCCAAGGCTCAACCAAAACCCTCTCTCTTTTCTTCAGCATCTACCTGATTTTGGGGGAGGCATTAGAGGCAGCAGCTGCTTGCTGCAGATCTCTTTGCCTTGGAGTGAGTCCAGAGGAGGCCACAGAGATGGGCCCAGGGCTGGAGCCCCTCTGCTCTGGAGCCAGGCTGGGAGAGCTGGGGGTGCCCACCTGGAGAGGAGAAGCTCCAGGAGAGCTCAGAGCCCCTGCCAGGGCCCAAAGGGGCTCCAGGAGAGCTGCAGAGGGACTGGGGACAAGAGATGGAGGGACAGGACACAGAGAATGGCTCCCACTGCCAGAGGGCAGAGAAGGAAGGGAAAATGGGAAATGGGAAATGGTCCCCGGCAAGGTGGCACACCCCCGCACACAGGGCCCAAAACAACCGGGGCTGCCCCTGGATCCCTGGCAGTGCCCAAGGCCAGGCTGGACAGGGCTTGGAGCAGCCTGGGACAGTGGGAGCTGTCCCTGACATGGCAGGGGTGGCACTGGATGAGGTTTATATTCCCTTCCAGCCCAAACCATTCCATGATCTGATGAATCTGTGATCTTGGGATCTCTGGCTCAAGACAATCATTTTGTTCCTGTACCGGTGAGGTTGGGGATTGAAGGTAAAGGGTTTAAAGGACACAGGAACACTTGTAAAAACAGGAGCCAGTCCATTGCAGAGGGAATTCTGTCCCTGTGGACAGCTGAAGGCCCTGGTCCCTCTCCATCCTGTCCCTGACTGTCGATTCCATGAAACAGGACAGACCAAACCTCACAGCAGAACGGAGCTCCCGTCACTCAGGCCAGCGTGAGCTGTGTTCTGCCTTCTGTGAGAGCTCCAGAGCTGAAAGGGATTTGTCCAAACTCCTCCTCTGGCTTTGCAGCTCCCTCTGGCATTGCCAGCCCTGAGCCTTCATTTCAGAAAGAGCCAAAAGCTGAACTGCCAACCCCAGGTAAAGCAGCTGAGCTCAGGGCTGCTGTCAGAGCTCCTCGGGCAGGAGCTCACACCCAGGCTCACGGGCAGGGCTGCAGGGGGGAGTGGGAGCCATGGGGGTGCTGGGTGGGCTCAGCTCCAGCCTGGGAGGAGAGCAGAGCAGCACAGTGGCAGCAGCTCTCTGATCGCAGCCACAGACAACTTTCCCAGGCCTTTCTGGGAAAAGTCTGTGAGAAGATCAAAGAAAAGAATGAGAAACAATTCTTAACTGGCTGCACCTGTTGTTGTGAACATGTGGAATGTGTTATGGAGATTTGTTTACCAAAGGGTGATTTCTTAATTAACCAATGGTGATGGTGTTTGGATTGGAGAACCAATTAGGTCCAGCTGTATGGTAACTGTCTATAAAAGCAATGGCTTTCTTAATAAAGGTTATTATTGGTCAGCCTTCTGTACTACATGGAGTCTATACCAATTAGCCATCGAGGAGCCTGGCCCAGGCCATGCCCAGGATCCTCTTGGCTCTGGCAGCCTCAGCCAAGGCGGCTGCACAGCTGCTCCCTCCCGATCCCTCCTCATGCACTGCAAGGCCTCCTCACTTTGGGAGGATCTGGAAGGATCTGCTGCTTTGGCCCCTCTGGAGGGCTGTGGGACAGTCCCCCACGGCGTCTGTGGCCTCATCTCCTCCAGAGCTGGGACGTGCTGGGCTCCCCCCAGGGTTTGGCACAGGCTGGGAAGTGGGGCAGGAAAAGAGAAGCTCTCTGGCCCCTGGTGGCCGTGGCAAATGGCCCAAGTGTTCAGTGCCCTCAGACTGGACAGCTCTGCCAGACCCCAGGGGGAAGGAGAGGCCAGTGCCCACTCTGCCACACACCCCCAGAGCTCGAGGGCTGTGGGAATGTCCTGGGGTGACTCCAGGGAAGTTCCTGGGTGGGAGCCAACTCAAGTGCCAGAGGTGGGGGTTGATAATTAATAATTGATGCAGCGCTTCCTCTAATGAGTGCCCCTAATTGCAGAAGCTCGGCCCCATGTGTCACTGCAGCCCTGCAGGTGCCCTGGGCTCCCCAGGTGGCACTGGTGACACTGCCCTGTAACACAGGGCTCTCACAGAGGGTCCCCTGCAGCCCTGGAGGGGAGCAGGGCTGTGCTGCGACCCAGCCCTTTGGATGCCACGGGAAGGTCGCTCCGTGGCAGTGGCCCTGTGGATCAGCTGGTGCTGATCTCTGCAAGCACATCTGGCATCTCCACCCCAGGAGCTGCCCCTCGTGGCAACAGCTCTCTAGCCACAGAGAGCAGCACAACTCCCCAGGCTCTGAGGAGATCAGGAAAAAGAATGAGAAACAATTCTTACCTTCACTGGCTGCACCCAGTGTTGTGCCCATGTGGAATGTGTCATGGAGATTTGTTTACCAAAGGGTGATGTCACTATTGGACACTGGTGATGGTGTTTTAATTAAAGGACCAATCAAGTCCACCTGTAGCAAAGTAGGGTATAAAAACATGGATTCTTAATAAAAAATTAGTAGTAGCCTTCTGAAATGCACGGAGTCTGTGTCACTCGTTACTCACTGACAGCCCCTCGCCCATCCCTGGCCCTCAGTCCTCTTTGAGGCTCCCTGGGCACTTCTGGGGTCCTCCCCCTCCTGGGGCACCAGGCCAGAATCCCCAGCTGTGGCACAGATGCCCTGACGTGGGGCACAGAGAGAGTTTTGGCATTTCAGGGACAGAAACAAGTTCCCCTTTAGGGCACAGGAAATAGGGTGAGACCCTCTGAGCACAGTGGGATCACTGAAGAACCCAGAGGAACAGGGAAGAGAGCCTGGGAAGCAGGAGAGCCTCTTGCAGATGTGCCTTCCTTTCACTCCCTCTGACCCCCATCTCCTTGCCTGTGGAAAGCTCCCCAGAAGGTAAAAATCACCATTATTTGGTTTTTCCTGCCTGAGCTCTAAAAAAATAGTTAAATAAATATTCCTGGTGCAGCAGTTGATTCCAACAAAGGCAGCACATGGCTCCCGAGGTCCTGCCATAGGGTGGGGATGTGTGGAGGGCAGGCAGCCATCCTGCACTGCCTTCAATGTCCTTGCCCCACTGGCTGAGCTCAAATCCCTGTTTCCTCCAGGCCAAAGCTGGGCAAGGCTGCTAACAGCCCTTGGCCTGACCAGGACCTTGTTGTGCCCCTCCAGCCCAGCCTGCAGCAGTGCCCCAGCAGACCTGCTCCTCTCCGGCTGGCACTGAGGTGAGCAGAGCTCCAGGGCTGGGGGAGCTCTGGGGTGGCAGCTGATGGAGAGGGGGAGCAGGGAAGCTCCAAGGAGGGCAGCCCCGAGGAGGGGTGAGGGCTGTGACCCCCCCAGCTCTCTGCACCCCTTGCTGTGGCCATCAGCTGCCTCCCTGCCCGTGCTGGGGTGGCGGCTGCCTGTCCCTGTGCCCTCCTCCCGCTGCCATGCCAGGGCCATCTCCTCCCCTGCGTCCCTGCTGGAATGCCCCAGTTCCCTCAGTTCCAGGCATTTGGAAATCCTGGCCTTGGCCTGTTCCAGCTGCCACCAGCTGCCCCCCTTGTCCCCCGGGCTCCTCGTGCCCCAGCTCCAGCACCTGTGGATTTTCGTGTCCTCGCAGACCTGGTTCAGTAAGTGCCCCTCAGAGGGACACGGGGAGGGAATCACGGTGCCCCTGGGGACCCAGCAGCTTCCTCAGCCAAGGGCTGGAGGTGCCAGGGGAAGCCATCAGCCACCCCAGTGCTGCTGCGAGCCTGGACAGGGCTCCCGTGCTGTGGTGGCGGGCACAGGGGGTTCCTGGGGGGCTCCTGTCCCCCGCCACCCTCCGTGGGACCTGGCAGCCGCCAGCCCCAGGGGCAGCCCCGGTGCCCGTGGCCGTGAGCCCCCGCAGAAGCACGGCTGGGCCGGGGGGTTCAGAACGCCCCCGGCTTCCCCTGCCTGCTCAGCCACAACAGTCCCAGACATGTGGGACTGCCTTCCTCCCACGCCCTGCGCGTGCCAGTGCTTCCCTCACCTGCCAGGAGCCGCTCACAGGCGGTGCCAGCCGCTGCCAGCCCTTCCCTGGCTCTCAGCCCGTGCGGGGGGCACTGCCTGGGCTGGGGGCATTCGGGACAAGCAGCCCCTGCCCTGTGCCCTGTGCCAGCTGCTGGCAGGTCACAGCGGGCTCAGAAAGGTCCTGTACCCCCTGCAGGAGCTCTGCCCTCCTGCTCCCGGCCTGGCACAATGGGGACCCACCCCAAAGGGATGCTCCTCACCCAGCAGTGGGGCTGCCTCCTGTCCTGCCTGCCCAGCACACACCTGAGGGGAGGGAATAAATCCCTTGGGGGCGACACCAATGCCAATACCACCAGTGAGAGGTGATGGAGACCCTGCCTGTGCCTGGGAGGGGGGTGCCCAGCTCCGTGGCAGCCTCCCTGCCTCCGTTTCCCCAGCTGTGCCATCCCTGGCTTTGCTTTAGGGTCCCACAATAATCTGAATTTTCCAAACCTGGGAGCAGATGTGATGTGAGCCCCCCATTCCTCTCCTCAGCCTCCTGCCAGCTCTCCAGTTCTGTGCTCCCATGGCAAACCCAAAAGCTTCCTCCTCCTCTTCGCTCTTCTCCCAGCTGCCAGAAGAGCACAGTGCCCTGATCCAGGACCTCAGCAAGCTGGAGCTGAGCTGGGCCTCATCTGTGCCTGTGCTGGGGCTGGTGCTGTGCTGGTCCTGCAGCTCCCTGGGGTGGGGGGACAAGGGTCCCCGCTGGCCGTCCCTGGCCCTCCCCTGAGGGGAGGTTATTTTCTCACCACATCTCACTTGTGCTGAGCACCTCCCTCTATTCGTGGACCTTCTGAGCATCATTTGCTTCCCAGGCATTCTACCCCCACCCCCTTTATTTTTAAATTAAAAGGAAAAAAAGCCATGTTTCCATAGGAACTTGGAGAGAGGCTGATCCCGACCTCATTATTTGCTCAGTGAAAGGAACTTTATTTTTATCTGTTTGTGTACATTGTCAGATTTTGGCTAAACCTACTTTCCTGACTTTGTACAGTGAGTTCTTTTAATCTTCATTTCAGATGCATTCATCCCAGGGCTTAATTTATCCTGTATTGTGATCAAATTTAGCTGAAAGCGATCTGCTTTGCCAATCTTGAATATTCATCAGCTGCCTCATTCATTCACTGGAGCGAGCCCTGCCCGGCCTGCCCCAGGTGCCACCCGAGCTGCTCTCTCCTGGTCCTGATCCCGGAGTGCCCCCACCTCTGGCACTGGATCCTGGAATTCCAGAGTGCTTTGGGTTGGAAGGGATCTTAAAGCTCCTAGGATCCAAGGGCACTCTGAGGTATCCCTGGAGCCTTCTCCTCTCCAAGCCCAGCTCTCTCAGCCCTGCCTCATGGGAGATGTGCTCCAAGAGCATTGAAAAGTGACTTGGGACAAGGGATGGAGGGACAGGACACAGGGAATGGCTCCCACTGCCAGAGGGCAGGGATGGATGGGACATTGGGAATTAGGAATTGTTCCCTGGCAGGGTGGGCAGGCCCTGGCACAGGTGCCCAGAGCAGCTGTGGCTGCCCCTGGATCCCTGGCAGTGCCCAAGGCCAGGCTGGAAGGGCTTGGAGTACCCTGGCCAAGTGGACCCACCAGTGCCAGGGGCAGCACTTGGCAGAGGAGCCGAGCACTGGTGCATCCCCTGCCTCTGCAGAAGGGCTGGGGTGAGGTGTCTGAAGCGAGCCAAAGCAGAAATTTGTGCCTAAAGGTACCTCCAAGCCTGCCATGTAATCCATCCCTCTGTATTAATGCCACTTTGCAGCTCTTCCCTGGAGACTGCAGAGATTACTGGCGGGGAAACCCTGGTGCTGTGTCCCGGCCCCCCAGCCCTGTGCCAGCCCCATCCCCTGAGCAGCTGCACCTAATCTGGTTTAGCCAATCCAGCCCAGCAAAGCCCCTAAGTGGATTGGCTTATCCCTCCTCACTAACCCAATCTGCCAATTGGATCTGGCTGGGTTTGCCTGGTCTCCAAGTCTGTTCTGGATTTATCCAGGAGATCTGCACCAATGCTGCCTTGGAGGCTCGGTGCCCTCCCTGAGCCCTCTGGCTGCAGCCCCCTGATGCCACCACTGCCAGGCCGTGGGAGCACCATGGGGTGCCAGTCCCGGGCTGCTGGGCATGGTGACATGGCTCTATCTGCCCCATCCCTGCAGAGCCACAGCACCTCCCAGCCATCTCCCTTGGCTGGCTGCAGCCAGGGGAGCAGCAGGACGAGCCCCTGCATGGGTTCATTCCTGTCTCTGCAGCCTCGTCCAGGCTCACGAGCCTCCAGAGGCTGGGAATGCTGCAGGAGCAGCTGGGCTCTGCTCTGGCACTCTCCAGGATGGGGGGAGAGGGAGGGGTGAGCAGGGGCACTGGAAGGTGACTGCAGACACTGGTCTGGGTAGCAGAGCCCACGAGTCTGTCCTGGTGGGATGCTCCAGCCTCTCCCACCCTTTGAGGGACAGGGCCGGCAGGGAGCACAGCCATGGATGCCCCCAGCCCTGGGGACAAACACCCAACCCTGCTCCACCCTCCCTTTGCTCTTGCACCCCAAGGTTGCTGGGGTGAAGGACAGGGGCCAAGGGCTCCATTTAGGCCAGAGACCCCAGGCTGGGTCCCTGCAGAGGCACATCTGAGCCACAGTGCTGTGCCCATCAGCCCTGCAGGGCCCTGGCAAGGGCAGAGTGACACGGAGCCACCTGCCACCACTGCTGCAGGCACGGCCCAGCAGCAGCCCTGTCACAAAGCCAGAGTGAGGCAAAACATCCTGGACAGAAACCCACAGTCTATGGAAAAAAAGAAACTGCAGCTCAAAGCATTCTCCCTCCCAAGGGAAATGGGGAGGAGGGCTCTAAAGCCCCCAGAGTCCCATCCCACCCCATCACTGTTCTGTCAGGGAGCAAGGGCAGGAGGGAGCAGGGATGTGTGCCCGTGATGCCAGGGACACACTGGCACCCTGCAGGCAGTGTTGTGGCTCCCAGCCCCTCTGATCCCGGGGCTCATTCCTTAGCAACTCCTGTCAGTGGCTGGTGCTGGCTTTTTGATTTCCCAGGCTGTTTGCTGGGCAGCAGCACATGGCTCACTGGAATCGAGTGAGTTGGGTTTGCTCCTGCGGGGACAGATCCTTTGTTGCGTGTCTTAAAAGAAAAAGCTTGCAGAGACAGGTTAAAGATTGCTCATCTCCTCAAGGCTCCAGTTTAGATCAGGACTTTTTCTTGCTCTGAAGGGAAAGGTCAGAAGAAGGGAATAGTTTCTGGCCAGCTCCTTTCTCCCTTTCTCCTCCCAGATGTGGCACAGTTCCTGTGTGGGTCAGGCTGTGGGGGCAGCTCTCAGCACAAGGGGCTGCAGCAGAGGGGACTCAGCCCTGCCTTTCTTCCAGTGGCACCAGGGCCCATGGGGAGCCCTGCTCCAGGGGCTGCTGCTCGGAGCTGGGTGTTCAGGGCTGCCCCAGCTGCCCCTGCAGCGCTGCTGCTCCTGCTGCTGCTGCTGTCCAGCGAAGCCTGAAGGCAGGGCTGACCCAGCTGGGGCCCACGAGCCTCTGCTGCAGCAACCCAGGGCTGGGGCAGCGCTCAGCTCTGACCCCGGGGCCACCTGGGACCTTTGCAGCCCCAGCGGGTGCTGGGGCGCCCTGTGCCCCGTGCTCGGTGTGGCACAGCAGGGCTCTGTGCTCACTGCTGCCCGTGCTAACTGCAGGGCACCGCTGCCCTGACGTGATGCTCAGTGGCAGAATGAGGCAAGTGCTGCGCTTGGCAGGACCTCACCTGCCTTCCTCAGCCGTGCTGCGAGGAGGAGGAGGCACGGGAGGTGCAGGAGGAGGCACAGGAGGTGCCTGGTGCGGGCTGAGCACCGTCCCTGGCTGCTCTGGGGGAAGCAAGAGGGAAGGGAGCTTGTGGCACACTGGTGGTGACAGGGGCTTCATGCACCGTGGGACAACTAATCACAGCAACTGCCAATATTCAGTGATTTCCAGGGATTTGGGTGACCTTGCAGGAGGAGGGCACAGGAGGATCCCAGGGTTCAGCCTGGAGCTGGTGCTCTGTCCTCTGGGGGAGCCAGCAAGATTGTGGGGCTCTGAGAGCTCCTCCACTCCTGCGTTGTCCCTGCACGACTGCCACGTGCTCCGGCACCCTGACCACCATCAGCTGGCCCCTGACCAGGGCAGTGACGGGTGACACGTGTCCCCAAAACACCCCGAGCAGCGCTCCCCCCACACGCTGCTGCTCACTCTGTGTCCATGCTGGCTCTGGCCATCGTTCAGTGCCAGCTCCTGAAGGACAGCGAGGCTTTGGAACAGGCTCCATCGTCCCAGGAGAGAAGTGGCCACCTCAGCCCCTCCGAGAGTCCTGTGGGATGGGCCATTTGTGCCACTGCTCTGCTCAGGGTGGCTGTCCTGGTGCTCAGAGTGCCCCCAGCCCCGACAAGAGCTGAGGGGCTGTTCTGGGCACGTGGCGATGGAGCAGCTCAGAGCAGCCCCTGGCTGAGGCTGCAGGAGGGACCCGGTGCCAAAAGCTTTGCTGGCCCGTGCCCCCATCCTGCCTGCCCACAGGGTGTCCATGTGTCTGGCATGGGGCTTCCAAGGCTCTGGAAAGGCTTCCCCCAGTGCAGCACGGCCCAGGATGCCCCCCTGAGCCCACCCCAAACCCTGCTGCTTCTGCAGGGCACTGCAGGGACCCCAAAGCGGGGACTGACCCCACAGCAGGGACTGACCCCAAAGCGGACCCTGATCCCAAAGCAGGGGCTGTCCCACAGCAGGGAGTGATCCACAGCAGGGAGTGACCCACAGCAGGACTATCCCCAGGGCTGTCCCACAGCAGGGAGTGACCCACAGCAGGACTATCCCCAGGGCTGTCCCACAGCAGGGCTGTCCCAGGACTGTCCCCAGGGCTGTCCCAGGGCTGTCCCCGGGCTGTGCCAGGCGGATGCTCCGGGCTGCAGGGGTGCCAGGGCAGCAGGAGCTGCCCACAGTGCTGCCCCTCGGGAAGGGCTGGCTGGAGCTGCTCTGGGCTCTGCGAGGTGCAGGGCAGGCTGAGGCCGAGGGAAGGAGCTCCTCGCCTCCCACACGGAGCACAGCACGTTGGTGATGCTCTCCATCAATCCAGGCAGAGGAACGCCAAGACCACGGGGAATTACGGAAAACTGAGGAGCTCTGTGCCCTTCAGAGAACCCGAGGAGCTGGGCAGCACCTCTGCCTGAGTGCAGAAATCAGCACGGAGAATTTGTGGCTCTTGTGAGTCTGAAGAGGGAACGCTGCCGGGGCTGATGGATTCCTCAGAGGAGATGAGGCCTTTTAGGAATTCAGAGATGAGGAGAAAGCTCAGAAAGCCACCAGAAGGACACAGGATGAGCCCAAAACGATCAGGATTCACTCCCCAGAGGCAAACACAAGAAGTGGCTCATGGAGCATGAGTTGCTCTGGTGCTCCTGAACTGGCAGAGGATCTGTCTGTTCCACAAAAGGACACGAGGTGGGAGTTTGCAAAGAGCAGCACGTGGGGCTGCAGACACAGTGATGGATGGGAACTGACTGGGACAGGGGAGAGCCCTG